ATACTTTGTAACAATACAAGAGTGGCTACTCAAAAGTTAACATTGTGTCCAGGTCATTATTGCTGCTCAATACTTTGGCTCCATACGAATTTGGTGTCTTCTGATTCTGGCCAGGGTCTTATTACGAGCCCAAGTAATTATTGTGCTGTAATTCACCTTTATACCTTAAAGTTGGTTACATATTTTATGCAACTTTTTTGTATTTACAGTTTTGCGGGATAAGCCTCTTAAATTCCTTCAACTAGAAATATATGTTAAAAAAACAAAAATGGTTTTCAAACTTTTTGTAGTTTATTGCACTTTGTTGCAATTTATTTAATTACTATGCACTTAATGCATACATATTATTAAAAATTGGGCTATAATGGTTGTATTGATATATAGCAACTTGAAATACTCCCAAAATTGCACTACAGCATGTAAAAATATAATATAAGCTCGGGCGGACTTGGTTCTATGGTAGGTCTTAAAGGGTTAATATACTGCTGCATGGACTGAGCTGTAGTTACATCGTAAGGTTTTAAAAACTGAGCTTTAAAATGATTAGCGGTAATAAAAACTGATCAACATACTTTATGATGAACTACTTTGATTTAAAATCTTTTACATTTATTTATTATTATTAATAATTATTCATGATGAATTACTTTGTAATAAATCACTTAATGAAGACCTGATCGTGGCTTACTTTATCATACATAATTACTATAATGACTTTATTTTTTGATTTAATTTATGATTAAACCCTTTGTGATTGTGTTATCATAGATTACACATAGACAAATGACTATGATAATGAATTTGATGAATTATTAGATTACTTGCAGGTAAATTAATTTACGATAATTTTATGATGAAATATTTCATGAAAAATACATTTATAATAAATTACCATGATGACGACTTTGTAATTAAATATTTCATGATAAAATAAATTCTAAAGCAAAGAAAAAGAAAACTGAGTGAAGCTTTTCCCAAATTTTGTTTTAATCTGTCAGCTCGGACAAAAAGCCGACATAAAGACATTGCTGAACATTTTCCTCCACACAAACTCGTGATGCCATGTTCACCTAAAAAACATTTCATTGGTAAAGAAGATCATGAGCGGCGACGATAAATGAACCGTGCTGACAGAATACATGTGCAGATCAGATCTATAATACAGTTTAATAGCACAGAGCTTCATGTCAGAGAAGCTACAAACAGACATGAAATCAAATCTGAACATCAGCAAACAAAACATTCAGGTTTATGATGTCATCATGCCTCACAGGCTTCAGTGTGGAGCTCAGAGCATCCACAGCTCCACCCGCAACCTCCAGCACGCCCCACAGCCCTGTGTGTGTGTGCGCACACGTCTGTGTGTGCACATGCAAGTGTGTGTTTGTGTGCGAGTGTGTGTGCATGTGTGTGTGGGTGCGTGGGTGGGTGTGCGTGTCACGTTCAGAGCGTGCTGTCACCACCACCTGACAGCAGGAAGAACATGGAGGGGAGGGGGTCAGAGGAGGTAAATATGGAGACGAGCACACATAAAGGTGTGTGTGTGCAGGTTGAGGAGCAGGAGGTCAACGGTGGGTTAGAAGCAGGTGGATGTAGGTAGGAGGAGGGGGAGGAGGGACCCACTGATGTCAGGGAGCCTCTAGCGTTTGATGGTGGGGGGGGAGCAATGAGGACAGTTCTGAGGGGCTATTGGCCTAGAAGGTCTTCCTGTGGATGGCACGTGCTCTGTCTTCTTCATATTCCCGCTTCGACACCCACATCTTCTTAAAGGTGTCCAACGACGCTAAGATGGAGCCACTGCATCAAGAAGTGAGGTCAGAGGAAGGACCAATCAGAGGGGATAGCCACAAAGACACATAGTGACACACGAGTGAATCAAAGACTTACCCAATCCACGTGGAGTACAGCCTCTCCTGGGGGGCCGAGATCTGCCAAAGAGAAACCACAGGTCACTGACACCTCCTGCTGAGACGTCCTCACTCACACCTCCTAAATGACATCTCCTCACCGAGTCCTCCTCTCCAAGACTTCTTCACGGTTTACAAAGCATTTTATTTTCTTTGTGAATACATAAATATATTTCTTTTAAGTGTATTCATCTCTGCTCTCCTCCTCCTCCCGAGCATTTTCATGAGAAACAGGCTCGGGATGCCCCTGTGCTGCGAGTACTTCAGTGAGCAGGAGAAGGAGGTCAGAGGTTACTGTGGGTGTGTCCCAGTCAGAGCTTACCTTGATCTTTACGTCTTTGGGTGCGAGCTTCTTCACTTCAGTCAGTAACCGTTCGCCGAAGCCTGAGTGAGGACAGTACCGTGTTACTCGCCGCTGCGAACAGGAAGTTTTACGGACTGCAGTGCGTGCACTGACCTTTGATGAGCGTGGAGCCGCCACACAGTACGATGGTGGAGAAGAGCGTGCGCCGCAGGTCCATGTCGGACTTCTGGATGGCATAGGCCAGGACTTCGTGGATGCCTGAGCTCTCGTCTCCGATCAGGTCGGGTCTGAACAGCAGCTCCGGGGCGCGGAACCTGGCGGGGCCGATCTGAAAACGGCGAGATCACATGTCAGGGGAATGGGGAGGAACGCTACACAGGAACGACCAATCAGTAGGAACAGGACTTACATTTAAAGTGCTTCCGTCAGGGAGGACGTACTGAGCCTTCTCGGTCTCTAAGGTCTCGTCCTTCTGAGGGTTCAGGGAGAGGTAGCAGGCTCTCTGCAGGGACATGAGAATATTAGAAACGCTTATAACACCTGACTCACATTTCAGCGCCGCCACCGCCTCACCTCTTTAATGGTGCGAACGACCTCAAACTCGGCCGACGTGTTGAAGTTGTATCCTTCCTTACGCAACAGCAGTCGCAGGTACCGCGACACATCTCTCCCAGCGATGTCCACACGCATGATAGAGTGTGGGATGGCGAAGCCTTCGTATATGGGCACCACGTGGGTCACGCCGTCGCCCGAGTCCAGCACTACGCCGGTGGTGCGGCCTGTGGCGTACCTGTAGGAAAACAGAGGCCATCACGGTTATGATAGAGACTCAGCAAACGCCTTCTAGCCTGCTCTGATTCTGTCTGGTGAACAGACGCGAAGACGACGCAACATGCATCACATGCACTTTTCTCTAACTTAGAGAGACAATTAAAATGTCATCAACACACAGACACAACAGGATAACCATCAAAACCCCATCAGATCCAGTCATGTTAACATCAGGACCTTTCTCAGCCCAGCAACATGTTAAATTCAGGCTTCACATGTTTAATAATCGACCGTCTGCATCCTGCACAGACTCTGTTCCGGGGTTGGCACGTTTTTCAGATCTGAACATTTTTGACGAAAATTTGATCTCACAATGCGCACCGTGAAAAAAATCAAACAAACAAACAAAAAAACAAAAACGGAGTGGACATGAAACAATGATGAGCTGGTACTGGCATTTCTGAACAAGAAAGGGAAGAAACAGATTCTGGTTTATATGCAGGCAGCAGCAGGAGGATTTCCTGTTGTGATCCAGGGTCGAAGCTTTGGCCATGTTTCATGACAGTGGGCAGTTTGAGCTCCTTGGCAGAGTTGAGACAACACCTGAGGAGGCAGCAGCAGCTAGTTGTAACGTCAAAATGGATTATTTACGGTTTTGATGTAGCATAGATTCAGTACCAGTGTACACTTTGAGCTACAAGCGTACTTGTTGCCAAATGCAGCGATCCGTTTGGTCAAAACTCTGAAACATCGAGCATGTTCCAAGCTTCTGAGTGTCACACATTCATTCTGTGAAGTTCGACAGCTGCTTTAAGAACAGAAACACTCATGCTGATTTTACTTGCCCAGTGTGTGAAGGCCTTCCATCACAGAGGGGCTCAGATCATAATGTGACCCAAAGTCACATCTGATTGGTTCAAAGCACACAAAGACTCAGTGAGCCGTCACAGATGGCGGTCAGGGTCCTCCCCTTTAAATGAGGAACACACACCTACAATCAGAACAGAACCCTGTGTGTGTGTGTGTGTGTGTGTGTGTGTGTGTGTGTGTGTGTGTGTGTGTGTGAGCTTGCAGTGACTCAGGGTAATTTAGGGCCTATACTGCCACCTTGTGTGGGAGCCATGCAACTGCAGAGAGTCTTCAGTGAGCCCTCATGTGTGTTTAACACCTTTAACTGTTTCTTGAGCAAACATGAGGCTGAGGTTCACGCAGCCCTCAGCTCAATGCTGAGTCAGCAACAGGAGGACACAAACAGGAAGTGAGTTCTTACAGACTGAGCACGGCCTGCATGGAGATGAAGAGTGCCGGCACGTTGAAAGTCTCGAAGAACACTTCAGCCGCCTTCTCCCTGTTCTTGCTCGGGTTCAGAGGAGCCTCTGTGAGCAGCACAGGATGCTGGGAAAGGTTAAACAAAAAAAAAACAACAACACAGGGTTAGCGGTGTCGCGACAAGCTCGTGTGTGGAAATGAGAGAGCCGGAGAGGAGCTCACCTCCTCGGAGAATGTCTGCAGCTGCTCCTTGGAGTAAACGTACTGCCAGATCCGCTCCATGTCATTCCAGTCGGTCACGATGCCATGCTCCATCGGGTACCGCACCGACAGCAGGCCCCTGTGCTCCTGACGGGAGGAGGAGGGGGAGAGTTTATTATTCCCTGAAAATGTGATACAGTCACATGCTTTGATCTGATGGAAAAAAGAGAGCTGCAGATGCTGTGAGAAGGTCATGTGACAATTATCTGGAAAAAACAAAACAAAAAATAAATAAATAAATAAACACACAACCAAAAAACAAACAAACCCTGTATTCAAAACAAGAAACTTTATTGATCCTGCAGGGCAATAACTTCCTGTTCCTCCTCCAGTGAGAGCAGAGCTGCTGGACCTCCTGAAGCTGCTAGAGATGAGCAGCTCAAGCATGGCCACACATCATATCCTTCATCACCTTCAATCGCCATCATAAGGTTACTAAATACATGACATTTACGTGCTCTCACACATTAAACGCCTTTCGGTAAAGATGACACTGCCTCACCAAGGTCTGCAAGCTCAGGTTTGATTGCCTCTGCACCGACCTCAGCAGGAACAATAAAGAGTCGACTTTAAAGGAGCGTTTGTGATGAAGGTGTGGCCCATCGAAGCTCCACACAATAACAACAACATTAACAATAATGATAATAAAAATGATAATTATGATAATAATAATTACAATGATGATGATGATGATGATAATGATAATAATAATAACAGCATCATAAGAGGGCAGTGAGTGTCAGCAGGGATGTAGTTTAATCGGCAGTGAGGAGGAGCAGCGGTACCTCGGCCTTGGGCCCGATGAAGAGGTCTCCCTCCAGGGCTCCCGCCATCACGCGCACATGCTTCGGACGCCCGACGCTGCACATGAAACACACAGAGCACTGAGAGAGTGAGCTGCAGGCTTGGTTAAACAGCAACAGAGATCATGGAGTCTCCGTTAACTTACTAGTTGGGGAAGCAGTACTTGGGGATCTGGTCTCCCGCAAAGCCGGCCTTGATGACCCCCGACCCCTGCAAGGAAAAGAAAGATGACGTTTGAGCATCACAGGGTTAAAGAAGCTGAGAGGTCATGAGATGCCGCCCGAGGCTGGCAGCAGTCCCAGCTCCTCTGCTTCAACAGACACTTTGTCCTCCAAGTAAAAAAAAGTTGTTTCTGCTGCACAAAGCTTCAGTTCCTGCTGTGAGTGAGCGAACAGGAAGGAGTGCCAGACGCCAAACCCCGACAACGGCAGCTTAATTATCCCAAAGATCTGAAACCATGTCTCACAAAGAACTCAGAGAAGCTCAGCGGTCTAAAGCTCGATACCAAAACCTTCTCAGTGAAGTAAAACCTGAGTAAAGACAACCAAGTAAAATCTGTGAAACGTACCAACGCTGAAATAAACTGAACTAAAAACTGTTCATTAGACGCACCAACTATCAGCTTCACTGTGATTACTGTTTGAGGCTTGATCTTTGACCTATTGATTTGTGTTTCTGAACTCTTCATCAGCGCACTCTCACACCCACACATGCACATGAAACCTTATTTTAACTTTTAGATTGCAAATAATCCCTGCAGGTGGAAGCCTTGGGGTGGAGCTCGTCCCACCATTAAACTCACACCCGGTGGAGTTTAGGCACCCCACCTTTGGTTTTGGTTTGAAATACAACAGCTGCCAAAGCATTGCCTTGCTGGTTGCCACCTTTCCGCTTCTTGTAGACAAAATATGCCAATTTCGAGTGAGTCTGAGTAAGTGACTGTAAACTTGCTCTCTTTGTACAACCTGCAGGTCTGTGAGGCTCCTCCTTTCATGACCCCAGGAGGGGGTCCTCCCTAAATTCACAGAATCAGCCCAAGATGAGAAACCTTCAGTCTCTGAACCTGAAACACACTAAACTGAGACTCCTGCTCACAGGTCAGGCAGTCTTTGTAGACAACGTTCAGAGCGCCTCAGCTGGCTTCTTGAGATCATCCAATGAGAAAACAATAGGCTTAAAGAGACAGGAGCTGAAACATCTTTGCTCAGACTGATGGCCTGAGCGGGTGAAGAGGCATGAGTGGAACATACACTGTATTCATTACGTTTAAATCAGACACAGCTCCAGCTGAGAGCTGCACGTCACTGAGAAATAAAAAAAAATATAGTCAGGTTTTAACTTTCATTGACGGAATTAAGGTTAGCTCTATGTGATGATGAAGCTCCTCTCGGTTATTGACAGTGTCACGGCCATGCTAACATGCTAGCAGCCGTCTGCTGTACTACATGTGGGGCTTCGGGGTGACTCCCGCAACCTGTCTGCTGGTTATTTAGCAGCAGAGCCGGGTGGAGGAGTGAGCTGATGCCGCTACAGCACTACGGACAGCTAACACGCCCCGGATCCGGCTCCACTAACCTGCTGCTGCCCGGAGCTAGCAGCGGATCCGGCTAGCGGCTAACAGCTGCAGAAGTGAGCCGGCCAGAGGAGGCGAGCTGGCAGCGTCATAGAGGGAACATAGAGGAAAGAGGAACCCCGCTGCACCTCCAGGAAAGGTGAGCACCGACCTATTAGCTCCGACACAATAGCGGCAGGCTAACGGTTAGCCCGCGGCCTCGGGCTGGGTGTGGATGAATGACATCATCATACTTACATTATCAATCACCACCGGTTGGTTAGCTAAAATGTCATAGGACTCCATGACCGCACGTGCGCTTCAGGTGTGTTTCTATCGATCCGCGTGAGTCTTCGTGCCCGTTTAGTGTTTTAATCATGTAAAAATCAGCGCCGGTTAGTAGCTCCGCTCTACGCCTGTCGACGCTCCTCTGCCGCTGCTGCCGCCCCGTCCACAACAACCACAGCACCGAGGCAGGCTCACGGTGCAGACAGCCAATCAAGCTCCAGAGATCCTGACTGGCATCACGGAGAGCCAATCAGCATGTCTATACGCTGTCAACGAGTGGCAGCGTTTCTGCTGGTCTGCTGGCAGATCACAGTTAACTATCACATTTAACAAATAATGCAATTAAAGCGCTTTACTACACAGAGGTTTTTAGCAGTGTTTTCTAACGATAATATCAGCTAAAAATTATTTTATTTAATCTACATTTACATTTTATTAGTCGGTAAAAAGGATGACAATATATTCACCGAAAGTGACAACATAAAAGATAAACACTTCATGTTGCTCGTAATAAAAAAAAAAAGTCCAGTAGTTGCACTAAAAGTCGACAAATGCAGCTTTAAATACGTTTTCCGGGTACCCTCAAGGCATTACCAGTGTCACGGGATCCAGCCAATCAGAAAGCTAGAAAAAAGCCAAAGTGGGCGGGTCCACGGGGCCTGGGGAATGATAAAAACACAGCTGACACTGGGCTCGAGCGGTATGCATTTCTCAGGTGAGTGGAGGGTTTACGGCAGTGGCACGCGCTGTTTTAACAGGTAAGCTTTGTAGAAGTGCTGTATTGTGCCAGCGCGATATGTAGGTTAGTAGCTAATGTGCTGTTAGCTAAATTATAAAAACTCTTAAGTGTGTTTATGTTCCTAGAGAGTACAGGTTTAATGAAACAAAAGTGTGAAGGCTGCTTCCGGTGTGATATAGTCGTAACTTCCCGCCAGAGCTCTTTTTACAAAGTGAAGGTTGAATTCTGTAAACGGCTTTCAAACGAGTTTTGGAGAGTGGGGAGGAGGAGGCGTGATGCTACTGGCTGGATGAGTGCTCACAGACAGTGGAGATGTGATTGAGCATAGTTGTGAGGTTCTGACGGACCTCGGGGTTGGTGGTTCCGATCCCTGTCAGAAATCTGGGCACTCGTTGACCCACATCCTGCCATTAGCTTAGCCGCAGTCCGAGGCTAAGGGGCTTTGCGCTTTTATCTCACCCGCTGTCACTTTTTTTAAACATCAGACATTTAATTTGAACGTACTTTCTCCGTGTCCAAATAAACAAAACGCATTCTCCGTGTCGGTACCTTCTTTTTTTTTTTTTAAGTTTCATTGTATTTCATTTTCTAATGGACTCGCTACCACCTCACGCTGGCACGTTTAATATAGATGGATGGACATGGTGGTCTGTTTTTAGACGCAGGTGTGGGTTTTGAACTCTGATTATTTGCAAACGTGTCACGCCCTGACACTGCCGTGTTTTTGGAGTTTGCCTGATCATCAGTTTTTGATTAGAGCGTGTTTTCACTCTGTGCTGCTTCTCTGATGGTTTCTTTGGAAGTGTTAAAGGTTTGTGTTATTGCCTCCCCCCTTGCAGTTTAAAGAAGTTTACTCCAACCGATTACAATTAAGATGTAGGTTAAATGCATGTTAGCAGTTTTCTTGAGTATTTCTGTAGCATTGTCTGTTTCTCTCCTGCGTCATAAAAATGATGCCGAAGTTTAAATCTTTTGACAGTCGCAGCTTTTTCTTTAAACTTTTTTTTTTTAAGTTCCCTTATCTGTTTAACGATGTCACCTTTAACTCCAGACTGAGTGGAGCAGCCTGCTGTGGTTCAGACTATGCCTGGTAACATCATGGCTCTGCAGCCATCTGAGAAGTAAGATTTATCCTCAGAATGAACTTTAATTCCACAAAGCTGAAAGAAGTTAAAATAACTCTTTCACTTTTTTGTATGCAGATGTTCCAGTAACTTTCTTTCAGTTGTTGCAATTATTAAGATTCTGATTGTAATTCTAAATTTTAATACATTTTGTTTTCCTTGAGAATTGTTATGAAGACATTTTTGTAAAATTTTAACTTTTTCTCATTTTATTTTTGTGCTGCTGCTAGGCTCATTTTCAGGCTGAACTCTTTCATGTGTGGTGACTCTGGGTAATTTAGGGGCTATACTGCCGTCTTGTGTACAAGTCGTGCAGCTGCAGTGAGGCCTTGTGTGTTTTAACACCTTTTAACTGTTTCATGAGTGAACTTGAAGCTGAGGTTCATTCATGTCTCATTTCAGGCACTGCTGGGTGTGTTTTGCCACAGAGCAGGATGACCCCGGTGCTGAGTGGCTGAGTCCCTGCAGGTGCAGAGGAAGCACTAAGTGGGTGCACCTGACCTGCTTGCAGTACTGGCTGGACACTAGACTGAGAGTGAGCCAGCAGCCAATCAGATGTCAGCTGTGTGAGGTGGCGTACTCTGTCATCTTCCCACAGATGGGTGAGTGTCAACTTATTCAGGGTCATATCATAGGTCCTCAGAGGTGTGGTGGAGCTCTCTACTACCCCTTCAGGCAAAGGGAGAAACTGAACACATGGTGTTTAACAGGTGTAGGAAGGGTGGTGTGTCCTGTCAGTGGAGAATGCGTAGTGGGTTAACGTTGATCCTGGGTTGTCTCCTCAGGCCCACTGGTGGACTTTCTGCGAGTGGTGGACAGAACGTTGACAGCCATCGGTCCATATGGGACCCTTGGGTTGCTGGTTGGGACGGCGTACTGGACAGCTCTGAGCTACGGCGCTGTGACTGTCGTGCAGGTACACAGAGGGAACGTCTTGTAAGGGCATCACATTGGCAGAGTCCTCAACACCTCGTGTTCTGCAGGTTATGGGACGGGCAAATGGTATGATGGCTATACGGGGAGCAAGGCCTGTGCTCCTGCTCTCCGGCCTGCCCGCCATCCCTGTACTGCTCATTCTTGGGAAGACCGTCCGCTGGAATGACTGCGTCTTGAAGCTGTGGCAGAAATGCTGCTACGAACCAAAGCTGCCGTCAGGTACATGCACACCCGGAATATGTCACAGTGCAGATGCATGAGCAGTTTCACTTAAAGTTAAATGTTTTAAGACCTTTTATATTCTTTCAGGTGTGCTGATTAACTCATGAATTTATATTCTTTATGGTATAAAATTTCCTTGTTATTCACTGGTTATAAATAAAACTGAATTCTAAGTTGTGCCATATTTGCTGCCACGGGACAAATGACCTTGTAAAGTCCGTCAAGGTTTGCTGTAAATGGCATGTGCAGTACTGCAGGCAGTCAGAGGGGGGTGCTGTGCTGATGTTCTTGTCCTAGTTTAGACATCTGTCGCTGCAACGTCAGTGTTACTGTTTGACTCTGCTCGCTATCATGAGGAATTGCTCTGTCAGAGCTTGTTGTTTAAAGGTGAGTCTGCCCCTCCCCACAGATAATCAGCAGTACCTGCCCCCCATTCCCGTGGATGAGCCCAGAGGGAAGCGTCAGTTCCTGACCTCCAGGATGCTTTGTGGCGCACTCATGTTTCCCTCCATTGCTGTTCTAACTGGGCAGCTACTGTTCCCGTCTGTGACCTCTCACCTGCAGCGCGCTTTGCTGGTGAATGTACTCTGACCTCTGATTGGAGAATGATGTGCTCTGTAACACGCTTTGAGATTATTGGTTGGCTAAGAAGCCGGTGGTACTGACTGGTTTACTTGTGTCTGCTCCACAGGGTGGCAGTGCTTACGTGCTGCTCAAAGGTGTGCTGAAGGTGTACTTCACAAAGCAGCTGTTCATCATGCACGCCGGCAGGCGCATCCTCAACTATGGTGACGTTCAGAGAGCAGAGCGCCACAGGGATGGCAGCGGCAATTAGAGGTGGAGATGATGGTGCAGAATTGTTTTTAACTAAATCCTGGAGGAGTTTAAACTGTCTTTACCAGACAGTGTGAACACTGATACTGCGTCTTGCCTCACACTGGTCAAATGATCTGCAATACGACCTCAAGCTGAACTGCTCACACCGTTATGGAACCCAGTGGGTCAGAACTAGACTGGACTAGGGTGTTTCGGGTGTATTTTAACTAGCTGATTGCTCTGATTGCAGTCTGTCAGCAGCTCCATATGGATTATTTTTAATAAAGTTTTTTCTTTAAATCAGGGATGTCTGTCATCTTTATTCACAGCCTTTGATTTATTATTATTTATACAGGTATAATGAAAACCTCCACTCAGTAATATTACATCACATGCAACTCTAAAGAGCTTGTGTGCTTCAAATTGACCCTTTCAAAACTTTAACGTGACACTTGAAAGCACTGTGTTCGGGGGGAGGGGGCTCGCAGCCTACCTGAGGGTTGTGGCTGACAACACCATCCCTCTATGGCCTCAGTGACCCATCTTCTGATTTCACTGAGCTCGGATCTCAAACATGATGGGGAGTAAGCTGCACTCAGGTGGCCTCCAGTCACATTTTTACTGTTGGCATGGAGGCAGCTGACACATGCAGCAGCTGTATGACTATGTCATAATGATGTAATGTCAAAGTCAACCAGTTTCCAGCAGCATGCTGAAGAATTAAACTTAGAAGTTCAAACCAGTATCAGCGAAGTGTCTGAGGGGTGTTGCTTCTGCTTTCACTTTTAAATTGTGTAGGTCTGCATTGCTTTTATTTTAATCATTTGATACATTTCTAACTTTTATTTTTCGTGTTCAGTTATTTGCTTCACTTTTTTCTATTTGATTCTAAATATTGATTCTAAATATCAATTCTGTTACTTTTAATTTGTAGTTGGATACTTTTTTTTTTTTTTTTTTTTTTTTTTTTTTTTTTTTTTTTTTTTTTTTTTTTTTTTAAATCTTTAAGATAAAATACTTACTTTTAATTGTCCCTCAATCCGTGAGTTTCTTTACGGAAACTCACGGGCCCCGCCCCCTGTTCACCGATTGGCTGTCGGTCTCCAGTCTGGCCCGCTGATTGGCTCGCTGGGTGTCTGAGCGGATTGTGGAAGAGGAAAGGGAGAGCGCTTGTTGCTGTGGCCGAAGGAGCTCCTTTCCCGGGCGGGAGCGGCCGGTTTGACTGAAGCTGTTCGCTATGAGGAGAGTAACGCTGTTCGTTAACGGCACGTGCACGAACGGGAAGGTAAGCTATAACCGTGAGGCGGGAGTCGGTGTGCTGGCGGGGACAAAAATGGCCTGTTCCCGCTCCAGCACGCCCCCGGATCTCTCGGCGGGCGGAAGCGGTAACGGTGCGTTTTGTCCGCGAGCGCGCAGGTGGTGGCCGTGTACGGATCGCTGGAGGACCTGCTGTGTGTGGCCGGCTCCAAGCTGGGCATTCGAGCTTCCAATGTGTACAACGGGAACGGCGGTCTCATCGACGACATCGCGCTGATCAGGTGAGGGGCCTGTGCAGGTGTAACAGTGAATCCACGGAACTGCAGAGGCGTTCAAGGTGTTTCCACCTGTGAGCGGTGAAATGTTCCTGTGGAGGGCAAAAACTGACGCAAGTGACAATAAAAACCGGGCACATAGATATAATCCCTTTTTAATTTTAGATCATTTTAATGATTCCACACTTTTGTTTATTTATACCTTATTTTTCTATGTTTATTTAATATGCAAGTATATGCCTGCCTTTTTTGTGTTTGTTTGTTTTGAGACAGCCCGACCATCACTGTTTCCTATGTTTGTGTGTGCAGAGACGATGATGTGCTCTACGTTTCTGAGGGAGACTCATTTGAAGGTGAGTGTGATGACCTGCAGCCCAGGGGTCAGAGGTGTGCTGCTGGGGTGTTTTTGACTCTGAGCTCAGAGTGTGCAGAAGTTCCTGCACATGCTCTGAACTTGTTTTGTTTTGGGGGCTGTTTTTTGTTTTCTCTTTTCTACTCTGACATCCAAATGATGTCCCTAATCTGACACATAAGCCCCACCCACCTTTTGTGCAGACTTCCTGTTGGTGTCTGCTGGTAAAAGAGCTGATTGGACTCATGTTTATTGCACTAATGCTACTTGTGCGCTCACCTGTCCAGATCCTCAGGATGACCCCAGAGGCCCTGATAAGGATCAGACTCACACTGATTGGCTGACTCTCAACGTCGGTGGACGCTGCTTTACGACGACGCGGTAAGCATAACCGTCGTCACGGCAGGTTTTACACTGATTTAAATCGGCTGTTTTTGTTTTCGTGATGACCTTAATAATCAGACTTTAATGACGCTCAGCTGTCAAAGTCAAAATCTTTAAAAGTGGAGTTGGAGGTGCTGTAATGTGCAGAGTGACATGCTGGGGCCGCTGTTGTTCCACAGCGATGCAGAATATCCAGATTATTCTGTCACTCACCTGAAGGCTGCTGATGGTGATCAGAGGCTGCTGATCAGCTTGTCCTGAGCTTTATTACAAATTTCATGATTTTGTTCCTGTGAAGCTGAACCTCCCTGACGTGGAGGGTTAAAGGTCATTGTTAATCTGTATCTTGTGTGTGTTTGCTTGCTCAGGAGCACGTTAGTCAGTAAGGAGCCGGAGAGTATGCTGGCCCACATGTTCAGAGAGAAAGGTGAGCACAGCTTCACTTCAGCAGGAAGTGGTGCATGTGCGGCGTGCTTTAATCATGCGCACGTTTCAGACGTGTGGGCGAACAAGCGTGACCGCCAGGGCGCATACCTGATCGACCGCAGCCCGGACTACTTCGAGCCCATCCTGAACTACCTGCGGCACGGACAGCTCATCATCAACGAGGGGATCAACCCCCTCGGTACGCCACATAAATTCACAGCGCCCGTTCAGCCCATAGACACAGCCTGCTAACAGTGTTCTTACCTGTGCAGGTGTGCTGGAGGAAGCCCGCTTCTTTGGGATCGAGCAGCTTGCCGAACAGCTGGAGGCCCTTATAAAGGTGTGTGTGTGTGTGTGGTGGGGGGGGGTGTGAGTGTGTGCGCGTGCGCGTACTCTGCTGTGATTGGTATTTTGTGTTCAGTCCTCTCAGCCTCCTGACGATCACTCACCTTTGACCCGGAAAGAGTTCATCAGGTTCCTGTTGGCCACGACCACAAAGTCCGAGCTGCGCTGTCAGGTGAGCACTGTGTGTCTGTGTACCTGGTTGTCATGGTATTAGCTGAGATTAACCCCTGGGAACCAAACAGTCCCTCTGTGAATCGGCCATTCTGTGTTTGGTCGAGTTAACACTCCCTACCTGCTGGTTACCCACAGCAGCTACCTGACAGGTGAGGGGGCGTGATCACCTGTGCTCAGATTATCTTGGCTTGGTCAGGCATTTGAAGACACCACAGGTAACTTGAGTAACAGTGGGCGCTCTGTGGGTTTTGTTTCAGGGTCTGAACTTCACCGGTGCCGACCTTTCTCGTCTGGATTTGCGTTACATTAACTTTAAGATGGCCAACCTGAGAGGAGCCAACCTGACCCACGCTAACCTGAGCGGGGCCAACCTGGAGCGAGCCGACCTGTCCGCGGCCTGCCTTGACGTGAGTCGCCGCCCACCATCACCTAATTGTCGTGTACAATAACTCTGAGCCCTCAAAGTTTCAACAGCCCAGGAGATCTCCACAGCTCTATTAGAAACTGAACCCAGATCAGTTTAATTTTCACAATCTGATGATTCAACCTGGTGTCTGAGCACCTGGGTGATCATCTGTCAGTCTGAATGACCTGCAGCACTTTGACACTTGTTTCTGATCACTCTTCTGGGTTCAGGTTCAGATCGGCAGGTGGGACAGGTGTCTGCTGTATCTGGCTTTGATTCCTCTGTCAGAATCGTGTGTGTGTGTGTGTGTGTGTGTGCGTGCGCGTGTGCAGGGCGCCAACCTGCAGGGCGTGAAGATGCTGTGCACCAACGCTGAAGGAGCGTCGTTGCGAGGCTGCAACTTTGAGGATCCTGCAGGAGTCAAGGCCAACCTGGAGGGTGAAGCAGCCAATCACAAACCATCTATAGATAAACGCACAGACACTGGTTGTCGTGGAGAGAGAGAGAGATTTATATTTTTGTGTGTGTGTTGGGTCAGGGGCCAACCTGAAGGGTGTGGACATGGAGGGAAGTCAGATGACGGGCATCAACCTGAGAGTCGCCACGCTGAAGAATGCCAAATTGAAGAACTGTAACCTGCGGGGGGCGACTCTGGCTGGTACTGACCTCGAGGTCCGTACAGATATGCACACGCACACTCACACGTGAGGCTGGAGTTCAAAACAGATCTGACCTGTGTGTCCTGTTCATTGATGAGCTTGATAAATGTCTCGCTTCCTAAACACATCACACTGTGCAAGTGCCTGTGCCACGCTGAATCAGATGTATTTTCTGTGCGGGAAGACTGACTGAGCCATGGACTCGTGCTCGGTCCAAATGCTAAAGATGTGATTTAATCTGACCTGTAACATTAAAAAGCTGATGACGCAGCTTTAGTCAGACATGATCACTTCCATTCTCTTCTAATGATCCCACTGAGGGTTACGGGGGCAGCCTATCCCAGCTGTCTTGGAGAGAGAGGCGGGGTATGCCCTGGACAGGTTGCCAGTCTAACACAGAGACAGACAACCATTCACATCTATGGGCAATTTATAATCACCAGTTAAATAGAGCTGGGCGATATGAGATTTTTTCATATCACGATATGTTTTTTCATTTCAGGCGATAACGATATCTATCACGATATCAGCCAAATAACTATATTTGTAAGATTTAAATGTGCCGTTGCTCACAAGTAAAATGTGAAATAATCAGCAGCTTGTTTT